CAATAAACTAGTAATTACAAATAAGATCGAACTTGTCCAGCAGCAAAATATACTTGCAAAATATGCTTGACAGCCTAGTACTTGCGCTGATTGACTTGCACTACCGCACGAATTTATACCGTGATATACTGGAGAAATAATGGCAAAGCCTGTAAAACGAAAAAAATTTGAGATTTTGAATTATCAGATGAAATTAAGAATTAATTGAATTAACAGTAAAGTCTACCTGAAATCATCCATAATACAGCAAAACAGATGTCAATTCCTATATTCCGAAATGATAATGGACTTCTCCGTAAATTATTAAAATTTATTAAATTCCAAACTATTATTTTCGAACAAGTCAATTGAAAATTCTAATTATTGGCATTGCGGTAATTAAAATTTTAAAATAACTTACAGATGGCTATTATTGTAGTCAGTATTACAAAATAATAAAAGGTTTTGACTCCATAATTGCCGAAACCCCTGTGAAATAGAAAAGATTTTTAAAATTTTTTTTTTCGATTTTAGAAATCTAAATTATATATGACAAGATAGATGACAAGACCTACTTGTAATTATTAAAGAAATCTGATATATGTTGTTTTGGTGTAATTGTTGTAAACGCGATAATTTGCGTTATTTCTATTAATAGTCAAATGTTAAAATTATTATAAGATGTAACGATAAATGAGAAAAGTTGAGTAAATACCAAGAGCCAAGCAAATTAAAGCAAGCAAAAGTTGTAGAGCTTTGATACCCCGGAAGAGATGTGGTTTCGTATATAAATCCATCAATGCGCTTTTTAAAAAAAGGACTTGGATATATGTGTATACTAAGGGTGAATATATGTATACTAAGGGTTCTAATGTGACTTCATTCAATCTTTTAAACTAGGCACTGATTTTAACTTTGACTTCAAGGGAGAAAAACTTATGTCTCCGAAAAGAAACGATTTTTATTCCTTTACAACAAATCAAATCTTAAGGTACTGTAGTTATGCATATATCATATATATAGAAACTTTATCCAATTTTATCCATGGTGACTATGAATTTAAATAATTGTTTGTTCCTTCGCATTGATCTTAGTTGTAACCATGCGCTGCGATTGTGCACAAAACAATATCTCAGAATATATTGTATCTGCTCATAGTGATAGATGTGTAACATCGGCGTCAACCCGATATACATACGGTTTAAATAAATTTAACAAAATGTTCAAACATCGTTAAATCAAGAATAAAGTGTATATGATATACGTGTGTACGTACTAGTTAAAGAATAATGATCCAGGAAGTTATTAAGTATATTTTG